ACAGCCAATGACCAGTGTTCAACCTGATGAATCTAATTTGAAATTTGTCATAAAAAAATTAAATAAAACAGCATTTTGTATTATTTTACATCTAGATTCTTGAGGAGGACAGTGTTACTCAGTCGAATCAGACATTTGCAAGACAGTGTCAAAAGCAAATATACAATCCAAATGAAAATCACAGCAGCTTTGGGCCAAAGGCACAAGTTTTTTTTATATAAAACAAGAAAAGGAAATTGCATATTTTGTACAGCTGAAAAATGTTGGTGAATTTATAATTGGAATAGCTTGTTCAGAATAAAGACCAGTTAATTAATGAGTGTAAAGTTTTTAACTTCATTCAGACATCCTAGTGGATTTGTCTCTTTATATCACACTTTCAACTTTTGGCTAAAATTGGGGTTTGGGGTGGATATAAGGTTGGATAGTCTGCAATTTCTTCCTGCATGAATGCTAAAATATTTTATTGAATAATCTTATGATAAACTGGGCTTAAATGTCTGCATAGAATGCAGCAACCTGTACAGGACCTCTCCTCTAGTTGCAACTGCATGACTAAGATATCATGAAGATGGTGATTGACCCCATCCTTTTTAGATAATCAAGAATGACCAGAAAATGTAGGATTAAATATAGGGAAAAGTAAAAGTTAGATGATATATTTGCATATGCAAATTAGCTTAATTGATCCTGCTTGCCTCTACAGGGATTTTTCATTACAAACTGGAGTGCTACATTGTTCAGCTCATATTGAGTAATTTAGTAGCTAATGAGACCAGTTTGCACTAATTTGCATATGATAAATGAGCTTAATTGCAGTAAATAACTTGGAGGCATAATTACTTAATTTTCCTGTGTTGCACGGCTTTTAAGTTCACGTATGAACAACTCAAGATAATTCCGCATATTTAAATAAGTTGCTTTTCAAATTTCTTAAACCAAACAGGATACCTTAGAATTTTATACTGTAAAATAATCAAAAGTGAAGTTTATGGTATGGCCGCTTAAAATGTACACAATTTGAAGCGCTGGTTTTTTTGGTTTTTTTCCATAAACATCACAAACTTGCTAATGAGTACACAATAGTGCTTAACCTTAAAACTGCTTAAGGATAAACACTATCCTTAAGATGTTATTAATGTTGATATGAGTCCTGTATCTATAGTAGAATGTTTGGTGTTGAATAAATATGGCTATTGGTGGTGGTGGTGGGAGACTTTTCAGAGACAAAGTTAATTATCATTTGAAAATAAGATTTAGTGCACCGGTGACTAATGCAATTTTGTTGATGGTATTTGTCCCTCTTCTGTATGTAGTACCATTGTAAAACAGTGCAGATGTTACCATATTAAGTGAAGAATTGTCCTCCTCGGCCAGGAAAGGCTATTGGGATGCAAGCATGTAGAACAGAGAGGTTAAGCTAGGCCAACAGTAGTTAAGAATATGGAAGTTATTAGTTTCTGAAGAACAGAACAAATTTAGCAGACACCCCACTTTACTCCCTCTCTTTGCTCTGCTTTAAGCAGTGATCTGATGAACAGGTAGCAGCAGTGATGTCTGAAAGAAGAATAAAAGCCACCTAGCATGGGAGACAACTGAACAACCAGAAGAGTCTGTAATATGGATTAAAGGGAGGGGTAGATAATAATTTTGATCACAACAGAGGGAAGAACTAGAAGGTATTGATGACAAGAAAGGAAAAGAAAGTGTGTGTTAGAGCAAAGTATTTTTAAGAGACCATGCTGTTTTCCCCAAAAACACTACACAATCTACTCTTAATCTCCCCATTCCTATTAGAACAGCCATAGTATAGCAGGTGAAAGCCCTAGTCACACCTTCTCCATTTGTGTAGGGTAAATGGATGGAGGAGGATCAGGGCTTTGCCATTGGCTTTGGCCCCAAATCTCACACATCCTACAAAAAGAGGTCCATTGTGTGCACTTAGGTTTTCCATGCAGTTGGAGCCCCCAATTTCACAGGGATCCCAACTGCACAGAACACCTATGCAAATATAGCTGAAAACCCATACATCAAAGGGACAAATCTGGCAGCACAGGCAGTGCTGCTGGGACAGGGTCAGTGATATGCTCTTGAACGTATATTCTAGACTCCCTTCTTCACTCATTTATCTTGCACATAAGACTCCAGAGTCCATCTAACCCAGTATCCTATTTCTAAAAATAGCCATGCTTATAAGAAGAGCATGAAGGCAGCACCCCTCTCTGGTGGTTTGTCCCTAGCATCTCCTGCATCTGAATATGGAGGTTCAATTTAACTATCATGGCTAATGAGACTGGAAAATGTTGCAGTGCATCCTCACCCCCTAATGAAACCGCTTCCATTCAGGATTCTAGCCAGATAACCAATGCCCTCCTGTACTATAAGATGAAAGGAACTCTGAAAATTGTATATACATTACACTATAAGATGAAAGGAACTCTGAAAATTGTATATACATCATCAATTTCAAGCACAGGTTTCTGAGTACATCATATCTGCTTTTTCCATTCCAGAGAAAACCATCAGTCATTTAGATATGATATATATCAGCGCTATGCATTGATGCCAGCTCTGGTAATGGTTTTATGTTTTTCATTGCTGTTAACTAGAAAACATATTAGAAATACAAATTCACCCTCAATAGACCATTGGAAAAATTCTGCCTACATCCAGGGTGCATCAGTAAAAAAGAATGGGTACCTGTCCCAAGGGGCTTACAATAGAAAATTCAGCATGTGGGAGGGGGTGATGCGGAGGTGGGAAAGAAAAAGAAGTGGAGGTCAACAGAATATGTGATTCTTTGAGTTACCCATGCTTGGGCTTGGTTACTGGCTTAGTTGCTCAGGAAATAATTAAACCAAAGACTCCTTGGAAAAGATGAGATCTTCAGGAGCCATTGGAAGGATGTCAGCATTTATTATTGTTATTGTTGTTATGTAGTTACACATGTTGTACCTTGCTTGGTGCAATACTATCATATTGGATGTGTTTTGGGTATAGATGGATGGCATGTCTTTGTTCCAATGTATGACCAAGATAGCTTGCACATCCTATTATTTGTGCATCCTGTGCAAGGCCAGCCCAAAGATAAATAGTACCCTGGGCCTGCCATCGTGACCAGCTTTGCAGCCCACCTGGAAGGTTTATGGGGCCTAGGGCAGGTGTGACGTTAGGGGCCCTGCTTCTGCCCCCTACAAGGACCCATGCATGTGTGTACAAAGCTGGGGGCCACATGTGAGAATTATTGCATGCATGGACTGCAAATTTTCATGGGCAGCCCTTGTTTGTCCTGGGATCACGCAGAATGATAGCTGTACTTCATTTTATCTAAATGGGGATAAGGGAGTATGGGTCTTGTGCTTCTCCCGAGTACCTTCTCCACATCCAAGCCCCCTTCTAGCAGAGCTTCCTTTTGCTTACTAGGCCTCAGTCTCATAGGTCTTCTGATTTTGGCCTATTGCTAACTCTCTACTTACTCAGGATTCCTCCCTTAAGGCCTGGCCTTGTACCACTCCTACAGCTTTTCCTGTGGTAACAGAAAGTTACTCTCCAGCGGCACCTTGCTGGAAATCGTAGGTGGCATTCACTCACCATTGGTGAACAATGGTACACTCAAGAACCAAGGCAGGGGCCCCTTGCAAATTGCCCAGGTTGCCCATCCCTGGCCCATGTAGCTTTGTGGTGCTACCAAGTTGTGCAGGTTTGTAAAACAGACCAGTGTAATTGGCTTGCTATTCCCAGGCTTTCCCACAGCAATTTTCTATGAAAAGGGCTCAGACTTTATTTTGTGCCACATTTTCCAGGCACAGATCCGTATTTTTCAGGTCCAGGCCTGAGTGTTTTGTTTGTTTTTTTATAATCCCGCTCCTTTTCCTGGGAAAACCTGCTGCTTATTGCTGAATCAGAGCAAACGGCATTCTGAGGAAAACCCATTGCTGTTTGATCTGATTCAGCGGTCAACAGCGGGTTTCCCCAGGGAAAGTGGCATGACAACAAATAACACGCTTGGACCTGGAAAGCTCAGAGCTGCACCTGGAAAACATGGCACCAAAGGAAGTCTGGCTGAGCCCCAATCTACCTCTTATTTGCTGCTCTGATTTCACTGCACTCCCATTCCAGTTCTAGGAGCCCAATAAAGGCTCTGTCATGTGGTGTGAGTAGCTCTCAAAGGATGACTCCCATGGAGTTGTAGGCCTATAATCTTCCACTGTGCGAGGCAGTGGAAGACAGGAGTGCCTGGCGTGCTCTGGTCCATGGGGTCACGAAGAGTCAGACATGACTAAATGACTAAACAACAACAACAGCAACAATCTTTATTATGTTCAAAACACACACACCACCTTCTGTTGTGAGCTATCTGTGCACCAGCACTCCCTCCTCAGCTACAAAAAGTAGTCCCTCTTTTGGAGTGGTATAGTCTTGAAGGGCCAGTATCACCATGTAGTACAATCTCCCAGGCTGTAGCTTCTTCTTCAGTATTCTTCCCTTGCTGCTTTTGTTTTAACTTTGAAAATTAATATTGCCTCAAAACATAGAGCCAATATTTGGGGCCAGTTGTGGTATGGAGGTTAACCACTTCACCTTGCATGCTGGTCTCATGGAAAATCATCTCCCGGAGCTGCTGTTTGCTGCTAGATGGTACCAAAGTTAGTGCACTGGGTTTTTTTGTTTTGTCATCATTATTAAATTGGTTTACCCTACTTCTACATCATTGCAGCAGTCCACTGCATATCAAAACAGTGGAGCAGAACAAATGGAGATACCACACCCCAGTTGGTCTAGCTATAGTAGATTGGTTTTAGTAAGGAAATGCTTTCCTTTCAAAGTTCTTTTTTTCCAAAGGCACTGTATCTTTGTGATCACTGTCCAGGATAAATATATTAAATGGAAACTGTAGACATCCTCCCCACTCGCTCCCCAAAGAAGCAAGTATCAAATTGTTTTGCAATTGAAGCTTGAAGCAACACACTTAAACCTGCATTTTATACAGCAAGTATGGTACATGTAGTTTCGTTTAATAAAGAAATATTTGATCTGAGCAGGATACTGAATACCATAGTGTGTCATTTCATTCCTTGAGAAAGTATTTGAAGAAAATGACATATCTCAGCACTGTTTGTTGACCATTTTGTTGTCACCCGCTGAGTGTTGTCATTTCCATAGCCAGTGGGCTGTATTGAATCAGACACAAGGAATGGGTCATTAACAGAAATGGAGGACTTTCTGCAGCTTGTAGAGGTTGAAGAGGGATTGTTTTATCCCCTGCTACATCAACAAAACTGTGTTTAATGGTGACTTCATTCAGTCGTGATTTGGGGCTCTAGCCTTATTTTCTGCAGATGTAAAATTACTTTAAAACATAGATAACCTAGAATAGTGAATTGTTTCTGCAAAAAAAGAGAGAGAGCCCTATATTGGACAAAGATTGCAAAGCGCAGGTCAGGATGATTTAAAACATCCAATTTCTGGATGATTTGTTTACTTATAAAATTAATTGATCTTTAAAAGAAATCTTTGCACTTTTTAAAAATGTCATTTGTTTGCACTCTGCTGAGATTACTGATAATGTGGGCGACAAAGTTAACTGTTCCCTTTTTAATTTCAATATCATTTACAATATGCTTTCAGATAACATTGGATGAAGAGATTGCCAGTTTTAAAGTATTGTTTGAGTGGTCATTAGTAAATGTGAGATATATTTACCCTGGATACATTATTTCTTGCATTTATATTCCACCTCTGCTTCAAGGAGCACAATGTAATGTACGGGGTTCTCCCCCTCTCCATTTCAGCCCCACAACAACCATTTGGTGTAGGCTCGGCTGAGAGACAGCGACTGGTCCAAGGTCACCCAGTGAGATTCACAGCTAAATTATTTAATTAGAATAGCAATTAAATACAACTATACATGGCACACACCAACCTACTGAGCCCAGTTAATACCTGCTTCTTATTCACTGTAAATCTGGAAAACAGACACTGGAACAATTACCTCGCTTGTTGCCTTAGTATTGTCTTGTAAACTTTTTAATTGGCTAAACAAACCCTTGGGAAGGGCAGCAGAAAAGAGACTGACAGTGGAACTGCATGTTATAGAAAATGTATGGCTTCTGGCAACTGGAACCCCTGGTTTTCTCCTGTCTCCTACACAATGCCCACCACGATGTTATCACACTCCTGATAATTCCTGCTTCCTCTTCACTTAACTGGCTTCAAGTGGCAGGTGGATTCAGAGTCCAGTGAAATTATCTTGTGCATTTTGTATTCCTAAGTGTTACCAGAGAAGGAAAGGATGCAGGAGGTGCCGTTCTGAGAAATAGCCGTGCATTTTTCGCAAAGCCTGGTTCCAGCCAGAGTTGAGGAATTTATTTTTGCAGTTTTTCCTATGGAGCAGCCATGTTGTGGGATTTCAGTGCCTTGTTATCAGAAGAGAAAACCAGTTTGAATTCTGTCACAGAGTGGGTGCAGTAATTCTTTCGTTCCATGATTAATTTTTATTATCTGAAAAGACCGAAGAACTTATGGTCATTCATGGGATTGGCTTTTGAACAAGTCCTTGAAAGGGAGGACATTTTCTGAAGTAGACAAAGTTAATGTAAAGCTTGTATTCATGTTCTGTAATATTAACATTGTTATGGTATCGTACAAGTAGCCAATGTGGTGGGCAGCTGAGAAGGAGGCTACAGGCAAGTGTCTGTATTATTTTATTGTATTGTTTTTGCTTGCAACTGTCTGTGAGTCATGACAGTCCTATTGGCTCCATTGACGAGGAGGAACAGAAGCTAAAAAGGCTGTGAGGACGGTAGCTGAAAGAGGCTGATTGGGATAGCAAGAGGGAAAAGCTAGGAAAGGTAGACTATCTGTTGTAGAGGGATACAATTTTGCCTTGGGAATTCTCAGATTTGCAAGTGAATGAGCTGTGCATTTTCAACATCTGGGTTGAAGAGGCTGCTTAACTAAAGAGACGGGCCCACAAAATTAGAGGAGTGTGCCCAGCTCACATAGTCACTCTGTTAGAACATGGAGGTTAATTGAAAGAGAAGCTTCCTTTCTTTTTGGCCAAGATCCAGTGAAATACTTTAGGCATGGTAAGGGCTTGTATGAGCCTGCTGATTTTTATTTATTTTTAACAGCTGCTTTTCATACTATATATGATGCTTTTAAAAATCACCCAGCTTGCTTAGGTTTGAAAAGTATGTGACATGTGAGTTTGCTATGTGACATGTGATGCTTTTGTTTCGGGGGGGGGAATAATTTTGCATAAACTAGTAGTATAGGGGAGGGTTTAACTGATGAATTCCATCAGCAGAAGTCCCTAATGGGGCTCCCCCCATGTCCCCTGCCCCCCCACCCCGTGGCCCCCAAATTGGTTCAGGTGAGTCAGGAGAACCCCTGGAACAATACACAGGAGAGAAGAGGGAATAATCATTCTATTTGACGATTTAAAATGTTCACCCTGATGGAACAATCACCTTAGTGAGGCGTGGAATTCTTCCCATAGTTCTTTGTATCTGAAAGTTTATTTTGTACAGCGTATTAATCTCAAACCAATTAAGTTGCAATTGTAAAAATGTTTGCAGTCTTTAAAATTGCCTTGAAAAAACATTCGTGCATTACAAACTCTAGACGCACCCCCCCAGGTGTGTCCAAATTTACATATATCAATTTCTTCCATAGTTATTCAAGAGTAAACTACTTTTTTTAAGATTAAAAATATTGTGGGTGATATAACTGCCATTTGTGCTCCGAAAACATTTTTCATTTTTACTGCACCTGCAAATCACCAATACCGAATTAATTAAAAAAAAAGAGTTGCATTCTGCAAGCTATATGTCGGCATAATGAAGCATAGATCGCTCGTATATTGTTCCTTAGTGGGAGAGAACTACCTGAGGTCTCAGCTACATGACTAGAGGGCACAGAAAATTGACACACAGCAGACAGGCAATCGGGTTTATCAACAAAGCCAGCAGTGGGGCCAGCAAAGACAAGCTGACATGCAGATGCGATGGATAAGAATTCCATCCAGAGATTCTTGAGCATATGGAACCTGCATCTGCCAGTGCTACTCCAGCAGTTGGCTGCCCAACCTTTAGCAGCTTCTGTAGAACTAACGTACAGCACATCTAAGGCAGTACTCCCCACCCCCACCCTCCAAAAGTGTAAACTAGCTCTTCTAAAACTAAATTCACACGCTTTGGTAAGGAATGTCTGGGTCAAAACATGACTGCTAAGAATGCATGAGCGTTCTTATATTGTGCCATTTGGAAAAGAAATAAGATGCAGCTAGATTGAAATGGCACAATGCAAATAGGAACAGATTGTGTGAGATGTATACGCTGTCAAGGTAGATCCTGCTAGCTCAGTGTTGTCCACACTGACTACAAATTGCTCTCTTCGGTTCTAAAAACGAGTCTTTCCCCACCTTCCCCAGAGATGGGAGGGTGAGTCTGAAACCTTGGTCATCTAGCATGTGCCCTGCCACAGAGCTTCAGAGCCATCAAAAGAGGCAGGTGAAGAGGTGGCTCAGCATATTACAGCTGCCAGACAACTTTGCTATTCGATATTTCTATGTATAACACACGTAAACATCTTGCCCACCCACTGAATTCTGTAGATGTGATCGTTTCATGTTTCTTGCTACCATCTGAAATGTGATTATGGGGGCACAAAAAGATCCTTCTTGTACCATATCAGTTTCGTACTTAAAGCTTTCCATTTAATTTCCATTTAATTTTCTTTGCTCCCTGGTATGTGTCTTTAGAGAGAAAGTGAGATATTTATTTACATTTATTGAATCTGTATACCATCCTCCATCAGTATATTTTATTTTATTGTTAATTGTGGATTGCTTCTAATTTTTGTTATTTTATCCATCTTGAGCTATGTGTTTTTGGAATAGAAATGTGGAATAAAAAATCTTATAATAAATAAATAATTCAAAATCCAAAAATATTGTGAGTCTGGCTGATGAACCAGAAAGTAATTTCTTAATATGACTTCAGTGTTAACACCAGTGTTAACTGTTGGGGAAAAGTGTTATGTTGACTTTACAGTAGTGCACAAAATGAATACACCCCATCAAGCACCACCTACTGATGTGGATGGGAAACACAGAGATAGATTTCAGAGGCATAAAATTGGAAGTGTTCGTGTGTGGATGAAAGTACACAGAAAGTACTCAGAAAAACGGGGTCTGTGTGACCCACATATGTATTAAAACTCTAGTGTGTACCCACCGTCATTCAGCACAAAGGAAAAATCAAGCACACAAGGACCTGCTTTTATGTAAGAATCTTCTTTTCTCCGCTGATGAGAACCCTATATCCTTTCCTTGACACATAATATAGAGCTTCTGAAATTTAAAGTTGAGCCAAATCCCCTGGGGACTGTATTTTCCAAAAATCATGAGAAAAGAGAAGGGGTGTTTGTGTGTGAAGCCAGGGAAGCACTAAAGAATTTGCCACAGTGTTTGGGCATTATATTGCTCTTGCAGCAGAAGTCTGCTGCCAGAAGTAGAAAAACATTGAGGTCATCTTTGATAACCTTGAAATAGATCCTCGGGGATGTTCTGTTATTCTTCTAGCTTTTTAGAAACTACAGAGGGATCTTCCCTTCCGAGAATATTTATGGCAGTTAAAGGTCTGGGGTCAAGCTCTTCAGCTGGCAGTATTCCAAATGCAGTGCACAGCACCATTGATTACATTTCCTTTTCATTCAATTTGCAGTAAACCACAAGCATAATATTAGGGGCTGCAAATGCGGGACACATTTACTCATGAGTAAGTTCTGTTAAATCCAGTTGAACTAGAGACCAAAGCCTTTAAATCCTTTTCACCCATAAGATCAGAACGAAATAGTAACAAGATGAACACAATGCATAAGAATTACAGTGTTTCATCAATGCATAGGGTCTCACAGCTAAAGCCCAGGCTATCATAGAAAGCATTCTCTCCAATATGAACCTCCTTGTGCCCCCAAATTCCAGTTTCGACTGAACTTGAATCAGTGGGGGAAAGGAGCAGAGGTGACCTATAATTACATTAAGTGAGTAATCCTTTGACTTATTGTGGTTAGTTTTCTGATTGGCCACAGATATCCTAATACATCGTATTGAGAAATATGCAGACTTACAAACAAAACACACATACCTCTGTAAGGTAAGTGAAAAAGCAGCGGCGAAAGTTGAATCAGTCCCCTAGTTCCCAGCATTTTTAACAGACAAGAAGGAATCATGAGTCAGCCGGACAGTACTATAGTGCTCTAAAGCTACCAGAGTACTCTATTCTTACAGAACATGTTTTTCTATATATAAATACATGCTTTCTTTTACTAATGTAGAGACAAATGCAAATGTTGTTATTTGCTTGCAGTGATCATTATCTCTGCACCTCCCATTTCTTAAAGATGATTTTATCCTGTGAACTGCCCTGAGACCTGCGGGTATAGGGTGGTATACAAATTTAATAAATAATAATAATATGTGGAGGACTTACAATTTCAGTTTTGAGAAGCGTGAGATCTAGCTGGATCTCAGTCTGCGCTACAGAACTTTTTACAGTATTACTAGATTATTTAAACGGCATGGAATAACTGTGATGTGTTGATGGGTGATTTTTTAAAGTTTTCTTTTCACTATCTTTTCAGTAAGTGACCTCTTAAACCTGGTGTTTTTAGTTCAGAGTGTTTGTTGTTCTTTATAATATGTTTGCAACTCGCAAATATAGGGGGGGAATAATTTGTTCAACCTAAGAAGTATCCCTGGACTTTATAATTTCTTCATGGCTAGTGTTTATAGCACCTTTAAATATGCAACACTTGTGAATATGGCAGGGTGTTGTTTTTTCAGGAAAGGGTGATTCCCCCCCCCCTTTGTTTCACTTACTTCTGGCCCACCAGATGCTGTGAGACTACAACTCCCATCAGCCCCAGAACCAGTAGTTAGGAATGATGAGAGAGGTAGTCCTACAATATATGGAGGACCGCAGTCTTCCAAACCCAACCATAATGTTTGTTCCAGACACCCATGGTTTACATTTCTGCTGTTTCTGAACTACCTTTAATATCACATTTTACTTTTTTAGGCCAAGACATTTCTATTCATTATTTTGACCTTGTGATTCCTTATATGCTTGTGACGAATAATTGTGTTCTGGCCTTTTTAACCTTCATGAAACACCACTTTGCAGAAGAAATGTCAGCTTCTGTGACTGCTCTTAGATTTAAAAATGGCTTGCCTACATGACCATAATTTCACAAGCATAGCATCTTCCTGCTTGGCTCACCTTTGCTCCTGGTTAAATAACAGTCGCAAAATAAGATGGGCAGATACTTTCCCCACCTTGTCTTCTGATTATTATTTTAACATGGGCAGACCTGACCTGAAGGGTCTAAACTCTGTCACGTTGCATTACCGCTGCATTATACCAGCTCACTAGTTGTTCTGTTGAAGCTTCTATATGTTAAAACTCTATCATCCTAAGACTTTAGTGGTTGTACTGCAGTCTTAAGTGGGGTTGAATCATTGGTCTACCAAAACAAGAAGCAGATAATACAAGTGAAAGCAGCAAATGAAAATCCGCCCCCCCCAAAAAAAAAATTAAAGGGAGGCATAATAATGATTATATAAGTAAAACATGGTGTTTTTCCTATTAAAAGGTAAAGGTAAAGGGACCCCTGACCATTAGGTCCAGTCGTGACCGATTCTGGGGTTGCGGTTCTCATCTCGTTTTATTGGCCGAGGGAGCCGGTGTACAGCTTCCAGGTCATGTGGCCAGCATGACTAAGCCGCTTCTGGCGAACCAGAGCAGCGCACGGAAACGCCGTTTACCTTCCCGTCAGAGCGGTACCTATTTATCTACTTGCACTTTGACGTGCTTTTGAACTGCTAGGTTGGCAGGAGCAGGGACCGAGCAACGGGAGCTCACCCCGTCATGGGGATTTGAACCGCCGACCTTTTGATTGGCAAGTCTTAGGCTTTGTGGTTTAACCCACAGCACCACCCGCATCCCTTGTTTTTCCTATTAGGCAGGATTAAATCGTGGGACTAAATGGTGAGTTAAACTAAACAGTCCAATCATACCATACATATATTTTTTTACATGTTTTGGGAGTAAGGTTGTTGAGAGCTATCTACCTGCAATAGTAATAGTATGTTGAATAGCAAGTATTAAGGACTGTGAATAGCAAGTATTAAGTACAGAAGAGGAAAATTATTTTTAAAAAGAAGAATATGAAAATATGGAGTGTTTGTCTTATAAAAGTGATGTTTTTGCATCCATAGTCTGAAGTTTCTAATGCCTGTTTGGAATTTTTTTATATGATGCAGCTACTATATAATTAATTGTAATCATTAATGGGTGAGACAGTCTCCCCCAAACCATGCCCACTTGCCCCTACATTTGACCTCAAGGTGACCTCAAGATACAAGGCTGGATCAGCTACACCACCAAGATCCCCAAGGGGGACTCAGTTTCACAACCGACCCTTGCAGAAAGCAGAGGAGTGCAAGCTCTGTGGCGAACTTGATCACACAGCCAGTCAATGCAGAATGCAGGGATATTGTCACTGCCCATCAACTGTGGGGAAATCAGTTGTGCAGCTAATCCCTACAGAAAGCAGCTTTGTCACCACTCAGCAAACCCTATTGTGCTGTGTTCAATACTTAATTTTAAAATATTAATTGCAGAGCAGGCTCCCTCGTTCAGTTACCCAATGTAAAATAAGCCACTATGTGAGCCAGGTGGACCAACTTTTAGAAGGTTGGGGAACAAAAAAAAATCCCCCATCAATATACTGTATGTGGTAATTTTAATCTGTTTCTATATATGCCCAAGAGCACCAGTCCACTTCCCACCAGGTGTTTTGGACGACAACTGGTGGGCTGGTGGGCATTGTAGTCCAAAATATCTAGAAGACAACACCTTGGCAAAGGTTGTGCAAGATTCTCTAACCCCTGGTGCATGGCAATAGCCCTGCGCTTACATTTTGCCCAAGCAGGAAATCTCGTGTAGGATGGGATGTTGTTGTTGGGATACTGCCAGGGAGACAAAGTCCATCATGACTCCACGTCGTCTCCGGATGTCCATCAATCTCCCGTAGACACACAGTATCAGCAATTAGCGACACGAGCTCCAGAAATAGCTTGCCACATTCCAGAGCTGATGCACGCTCTATCAGCAGATAATGCACAGTGAAAGATGCACTCAGGAGAGCATTATTTACAAGTTTATTCAGCGTTGATCAGAGCAAAGAAAACATGACTGCCTGCTTCAGTGTCTCAGACACAGAGAGAGAACGAAAGCATAGAAACAACAGAAACATCCTGTGAACAGGAAATACGCACTCTGTGACACAAACATCCTGCTCCCTTTTAAGGTGGAACGGAAATATCCTAACATCCTCCCCCTTTCCGTGTAACCTGTAGTACCTGTGGTTCAACTCAATTGCAACCTCTGTACATAAACCTTAAGTTGTTCTCTGTTAACAACCTTAGACAACAGATCAGCAGAAATTTCATTTCCTGCCATGTAGGACACCTGAATGAGTCCTTTCTGAATACACTCTCTTGCACGATGTAGCTTAATCTGCAAGTACTTAGTTCTTTGCTTGCAACTCTCTGAGTTCAGCAAAGCCAAACACGATCTATTGTCTTGATACACTTGTACAGGACATTTCACAGAAACACTGATGTCCTTAAACAGTTGCATCAACCATTCACAATCCATGAGTGAAAATGACAGAGCATTGAGTTCTGCTTCACAGGAACTTAGGCTTACTGTCGTCTGCTTTTTGCACAGCCAGTCAAACAGACAGTGGTTGTACATGTAGCATACTCCAGAAGTGCTTGTACCATCCGTGGTGTCACTTCCAAAACTTGCATCTGCAAAGATTTCAAGACCTCCAGTCTTCTGACTGGTGAACCTCAGCCTATAGTGCAAAGTCCCT